GACGGTGGTGCATGCTGCTGGGAGAGGTAGTTTTGGATGTCGCGTGGTCTCTGACCGTAACGGGGTGGCGGCGAGTACGCAGAGAAGCCGCGAAGCCCAAGACGGCGATATGGGCACTGGCGGTACAAGTGATCAGCTTCTCCGCAGTGAAAGCACAGAGGCCGGCGATCAGGTGTGCGCCAAACATCAGACTTTCGAGGAGACGTGCGCCGATCGTCGATGTACTGAACTGGTTGCACTGAACGATGGGCGACAGAAGCACCAGGGACAAAGGGCAGGGGCGGTGGCGTGTACGTGCTTTCGTAGTACGGTATGTGCTGCGCTGACTGTAGTGAAACAGCAGGAACAGGATGGACGAATAATGGCGGCGTTGCAGCAGGGCGTTTCAAGGCTTCCGCGTAGGTTGTCTCACGGCGGTATTCAGCAGGAGCTGGCACAGCTGTATCATGAGGCAAGGTGTCCCGGAGGGCCTGGTGCAGCTCATCCTTGATCACAGTTGCAATAGTTGACTGTAGGATGAGGCGTTACACCAGCCTTTTTGTAACTCTTCACGTACTATATCGCGGATGAGTTCACATAGACAGTCGTTGTTGGTACTAGTGGCGGTGAAAATGTCGGCAGTAGACATGCCACTGACTTGCCTGTCGTATTGGTTGGATCGCTGCTGCAGCATTTTTTCCATTGTCACGGCCTTTGACAAGAACTCCGCGACCGTCTTCGGAGGACTTCGCACGAGGCCGGCAAAAAGCTGGTCCTTGACACCGCGCATCAAGTGACGCAACTTTTTCTCCTCCGTCATTCTTGAATCGGCCCGTCGGAAGAGGCGCGTCATGTCTTCGACGTACGCGGTCACAGTTTCGTTTGGCGACTGGACGCGGGCAAGAATAGCTCGTTCAGCTCTTTCTTGGCGGTCAGTGCTGGCATATGTCTGCAGAAGTCTACGAGAGAATTCGGGCCACGTCGTCAGCTGCTCCTCCCGATTTTGATACCACGTGCGAGCCCCGTCTTCGAGATAGAAGTAGACACGACCCAGTTTCGCCGCGTCGTCCCACTGATTCAAGTTGGCTACGCGCTCGAAGTCCGCCAACCAGTCCTCAACGTCTTCGCGCTCCGTACCATGGAACGTCGGCGGTGCCCGTGGGCTTTCCAACGTATAGCGGTTCGGCGACGTGCTTCCCGTGCCGGTTGCCAAGGTTTGTACCGAAGTGCTGGTCATGCTTGTTGATGTGGTGGGAGCAGTATCGTTGATTTCCGGAGGCAATCTCCTGATTCGGCGGCTGGTCCGATGCACGGGAGCGTTGACGGGTACTGGACTCGTATTACGGCTTCCTGGGGGGGTCTGCAGCATCCGTGAGGCTACCCAGCACCTCCACCAGTTTGTCACGATGAGTCACAAGTACTGGGGGATTTATTGAACGACCGGGTAGCTAGCTCTAGGACGATGCGTCAGTCGTGGCTGGCTCTCGAGCAGAGAAGAAGCACGCGATCATCTTTTTCCTCCAGATTGAGAGCCGCTCTTGCTGTCGACCCACTACGTGCTGGTGGCAATATAGGAGCTGGCATTTACCGGCGTAATTGCCTGTGTTTGCAAGGGATCCGGCGGTCTTCAGGGTTAGAATCCTGCCCTGAGTCTGGAAGTGTAGGAGGCCAAAGCCCCCCTAGTTTGGTGCGAGCTGCAGAAGATGCTGTTTCACTGGTGGTGGCTTCCCGTTCCACAAGAATGAAGTGATCAACATGTTGAGTAGACTTGCCGTTCTTGTGGACATAACAGACACCCGGCTCGCGCAAGATTCCATGGCACAGATGTTGGCCTTGACCGTCACAGCCTTTTCTCACAGGTTCAGCTCGAGAAGCTTCGCCCTCTCGACCATTTGTTGCGCTCTGTCCAGTGCTGTGGTCCAGGTAACTGCCACTACACCCTCGCAGGTGAGGAAGACGCCGAGCACCTTCACGGGGGAAACTGCCTCGATGTTTCCCACCGCTTCGGCCGAGAAATGCCCGAACAAGAGGGCCTTGCTCTTGTGATCATTCAGTGACGCACTTGACGCCAAGGCGTAGGCGCAAAAAACATGGAATCGCTTGGAGGCTGCGTGCGTCCCTCAAGAAAAGCGAGGTGTCGTCTGCGTAGGCCAAGATTTTGGGCTCTTCTGAACCTGTCAGTGGGAGTCCCCTGATGTGCCAGTTGCTGGAGATGGTTGTCAGGAGGGGTTCGATGGAGGCGATGAATAGGGTCGGGCCCAAAGGGCACATCTGCCGAATGCCTCTCATGTAGTGGAATCCTTCAGAGTTGAATCCGTTCACTCTGACGCGGCAGTCTAGGTTGGCGTGCAGGAGCTCAATGACTATAATGAGCTGGACTGGAAGGCCGAACTCACGCAGCGTCTTGTAGAGATAGTGGTGCCTCACTCTGTCGAAGGCATTAGCTTGGTCCAGCGACAGGAAGGCTCCTGTGACGCATTTGGTGGGTGCGTACTCGAAGACGTCTCTGGTCAGTGTGAGATTACCGAATATGGAACGGCCTGGTACTGTGCAGGCCTGATGCGGTCCAATCATGTCAGGGAGGAGGAACTTCATTCTGTTATTCAGAAAGGTCACCACGATCTTGTAGTCCACGTTCAATAGTATGATCGGGCCCCAAGACGACAGGTCGTTCGGTGGTGCCCCCTCCTTGATCAACAGAACAATACGCCCCGAACCGAAAGAGGCTGGCTTCATGTGCTTGACCAAGACCACATTGGCGACCTCCAGGCATGCGCCTCCTAGAACGTCTAGGAAGGTCGCGTAGAAGCCTGCTGTGAGGCCGTCCGTGCCTGGTGCGGAGTTAGGTGGCATCGACTTGATGGCGTAACTAAGATTCTCCATCGTCGCTGGGCCACACAGAGACACGCCGTCGTCAAACTCTAGGCATCGCAGGTTCCTGAAGAGGTCTGTCGTTTAGGGGCCTGATCCGGGTGAGACGCATCTTGGTCGGGCTTGTTGAAGCTGGCCTTGAAATGGTCGACGCAGGGGGCATCGATCTCCGTCTTCTTCCTCGTGAGCGTGCCGTCAGGGCGCCTCACCTCCGTATTCCGCCGTGACTCGTTTCCGTAGACTTCGCGCAGGTCCACCTCCGCCTGTGCTCCCGAGGGGGCCCGTGCCACGTGTGCTTCGCGTGTTGTCTCGCGCAGCAAGCGGTCGTGTTGAACCCACAGCGATTCCACGTACTCCCTGGTGCATGCAGTGAGGGCGTCTGCGCTTTGGACGATGCGAAACATATGCAGGATTTCGTTTAGTTTGGCCGTGTTGCGTGGTTTTTTCGCTCAGTCCTCATGCTGCAGGAGCGTTTTCCATGTCACATTAAGATGGTCCCAAGCCACCGGGGATTCACAGGGCGAAGACGCGAGCGAGTCCTCTAGGTCGTCTGATGCTTTATACGCTTTCTTCGTAGTTTAGGATCGCTGGGTCGAGGCGCCAAGACGCGTCGCTGATTCTGGTTCCGGGATTACCTCGCAATGACGTCATCAAGGGGGCATGGTCTGTCATCCTCGCCAGGGCGTGCGGCAGTTCGAGTACTTCGAATTGCTCAATTGAGGGGAGCAGCAGGTCAAGGACATAAATACAATTTAACCAGCTCGCCGTGGTTTTGGACATCCGGGTTGGGGCAAACTCATCGTTATAGAGGTGGACCCAGGCGTCTGCGAGACTAAGGTGGCAGAGAATCTTGATGATCTCCTTGGCCTGGTACGCCGAACCGCCGCATCCCGGACCTCTTATGTCCCTAGTGGTGTCACCGACACAGTTAAGTTGCCGAGGACCACGTGGTGGAAGGGTTTGAGTAGGCGGTCGTGTAGGTCCCTAAAGAACCGATTAGTGTCGGAGCGTGTGACGCGTGCATAGATGTTGGCGAAGCTGCACTTCCTTCCGTCGACGGAAAAGTCGAGTAGGATGGTATGACCGTAGGGTTCGAGGACGCATTGCGCCTTATCCCTGTATCGGCCCCAAACGAAAACCACACCGACGCCACACGCCTTGACGTTTGTTAGGGAGAAAAGCCCGTGAACGTGGCAGTTGCGGCGAAATTGGGCCATGTTGGGGGATGTGCGGAAACTCGCCTGTTGCACGACAAACAGGTCAATGCCCTGGAATTTGGCGAAGGATACAACCACGCTTTGTTTGAGCGGGTCTTGCAACCCGCGTACGTTCCACGTGGCTATGCAGAGGGAATCCATCCGCTGACGCCGCGAGGGGCGAGGAGAGTAGAGGGGAGCGGGAAAGAAAACATGCGCTGGTGGGCGCACTGGCAAGGAGGGGCCATTGTCCGTGAGAAAGGGAGGGAAGGAGAGGCGCGCAGGAGTAGTCAGGAGATGGGGTGGCTGCGCAGTCTGCAGTGCTGCCGATCGGCGCGTACTCAGTTCTTTTGGGCAGTGGTTAATGGGGTGGTGCTCCTTTCTCGGCACTGTTAATCTCAAGCTTCTTTGCTTTTGCCTGGGGGTTTAGAAAACGCTAGCAGGTGGACCTTTGAGTCCGGTGATGACCGGACTCAAAGGTGCCAACTGCGGTGAGTGCTGCAGGGGTTGACACACCTTAGACACCACACCGACGCAAGCGCGCATTGCACGGCGAGCCGCTATGCCAGCGCAAAGTAGGCACTCTACAGCACGACTCTAGTCGCGTCCGACAACACCAGCACCGCCACTGCTATGCGCAGTCGACGCAACCAGCGTCCGAACACACGAGACACTACAGACGACGCCAACGCCCACCGACGAAGCAAACGCCGATGCACCAGAGCACCAGGCGCAGTCGACGCCACCAGGATCCAAACACACCAGAGACTACAGACGTGACCAATGCCCAACGACGAAGCGAAAGCCGACGCGCCAGAGACGCGGGACTCAGTCGGGTCCCCCGGCGCCGAACGCCACGCTGAGGCTGAGGTGCTGCTGCCATCCGAGAGATAATTCCCTTTGGTCGCGGCATACCTACCCAACGTTTGGGTCTTCGCCCTCGGTGGGGCGTCACTATCGCTGCTCCGGACATGAGAGCTGGGCCGACGGTGGTTCATTTCCTGGGTTGGGGAACTCTCTCTCGAGACGCGCCCTGGCTCGTCTTCCTGACGAAGACGCGAGCGAGACCTCTGCTCGCGACACACGTCGCGGCTTGTGGTCCGCTCGCCCGGGTCGCGACCAGCCACGTCGCCGTGGCGACGATGTGAGCGCGAGCGCGTCCTCCGCTCGCGACCAAACGCCGGGCGGATCACGGGCGGGTCTGGTCTCCGGCTCTTGTGGGGTGCTGCTCGCTCGGTGGAAGGGTCTGACGGAGCGTGGTCGTGGTCTCCAGGTAGGGCGTAGTGCCCGCGGCTCACGATGGGCTCGTCTTCCCGGGCCCGGGGCTTGCGGGGACTCTCCCAAATCCTGGACCATCACTGGGGCCGGCACGCTGGCAGGTGTGTTGGAGGCGAAAAAACTTGTGTCCACTTGCTCAGGAGGCGCCGGGAACGTTTCACTTGAGGCGGCCGAACGCGGGCAGTCGTCGGCGCCCAACGGGCTTGCGGGTGACGTGAGGGGCAGTGATCCGGTCGGGGCCGGATCACTGCCCCTCACGTTGCTACGTTGCCCATATCCCGATTGCGCAGGCTGCCAAGCCCGCACATCAGTATCGCTCTGACTGTCCGCATGGTGGTCCCACATGGAGCGAGAGCACGGAGTTCGGCCAACGAGGCGTCTCTACCGGTGCGTCACCTATGATGCCCGGTTGACTTCGCTGTCGGCACACCACGACAGCTCGGGTCCTGCCACAAACGAGCCCTTCCACACATGCCGGTACTGCCCGAGTTATTTCTACTGTGAGCGCTCCTTGACACGGCACACCATGGCACGGTATGCGCAAGAGGAATATTATGCTTATGTACCTCTTCGCAGCCCACGGCAGCCTACGGCGACTTCCTCCAGTTCTTCCGGTACAGAGACCACTCCATCTCGCAGTCCAGCTCCTTTGGGGTACAGCTTGCCGATTTCCACCAGAACCTCAGACCCGAGTAACTGTTTCCCGGTCTCGAAAACGTCGTGGAGGCACGTCCTTCACATCAACGCCATCCTCGAGTACCGGTTCAGTCTCCAGCACTTCGGCTACCGGTTCTCCTTCGGCGTAAAGCTCCGGGGCGTCTACCACGCTGGCCCATTCTTCTGTCACTTTTGGCTTCGGTTCTTCGACGCCTCGACAGCCGCCTTCGGTTCCCAGAACACCACCGTCCGTGCCACCAGATCCTGGTCCCTCATGCACGACTGGCGAGGTCTCGTCCACGCCCGGCTCGTCTTCTCATCGTCACACCGGTCCCGGCTCCGCGTCGTCTGCTTCGAGGGCTTCCTCACGGATGTCTACGGAGCTCTCCGACGTCCCCGGTACTGATGATTCCGACGACGTATCGGCCAACGAGCCAGTGAACGAACAGAGTATCCTGGCTGCCAGCCCCGTCGTCAACCACCATCTTTTGTCAGCGAGATCCCGCTCTTCCTCATCCCCTTCCCTTTCCGAGTGGCTGGAGGACACTGGTGCGGATGACCCCGACGATGGTAAACACGACATACCTGTCGACGCACCATCTATGAACATCCCACCGGACCACACCATGCTGCTTGCGGAGCAGGTCGCGTCGTGCGAGCCATGCTCCGATCAGTCCAGACACCAGACTCCTTGGCGACGTAAGAGCAGGCATGGTCTCAGGTTGTTGCACTGTTTGGTTCTGTCTGTCATGATATGCGCGGTAGGTTCATCTGGTGCGCGATGTTTGTGAGTTTGTGCTGTGCCGTACGCCGACGAAGATGACGATGAGACATGGAAAAGGCGGAATCGTGTCGTCAAAGTCAAGCCAAGCCATGGGGAGAGAGAAGAGGAAGACGACGACGGGGCGTTCGAGAAGAAGAATCTGAACGAAAGAGTGGCAGGCTGAAGCGCTCGTCGGGTCGGGGTCCCGAAGCCTACCTGTGCCTGTGGTCCGCATGAGCCTGGCTCCCTCCTACCGTGTGATCCAGCAGCCGGCGCCGGTCCGTTGTACTCGGATCCGGGCGTATTCCAGACCTGGGCCTACTACTGGCTGTCCGGGACGTGCTTGCCACACATCGACTCTGCCTCACGCTCCGCTCCGACCATGCCTGAGTCATCGCTGATGTCGGCGTAAGACGCCAACGCAACGCATCGACTCATCTGCCTTCGACGTCACACGGTGAAGTGTTTCAAACCTTGTGTAGTGCAGTGGGGGACTACGCTAAGCGTCAGACCTTGTCTTCCGCGAACGTATGTCGTGCTCGTACCTAAGGCAGTTCTTCGCTGGTGCCATGTAACACGCCAAGCTTCATTATCGTTTTTTTGTGGCATTAAAGCCTTATAACTCAAGTTGCAAACGTCTTCGTCAGTCTCGACAACGATTATTTAAGTTGCCGTGATTACCCGAACCTTATCCCACACAATTGGCGTCCGCACGACAGGACGAAGCCGTTTGCACTGGGTTGAAATCTGTAGGGAAGATGAGTGAGCAAGAGCTTATAACGCTAGCGGAACGCATGGGGCTTCAAGGAGCCGAGCTGAAGACGTGGGTAGACGCGCGGTTAGAGCGGGCTCATGAGGAATCTGTGCAAGCGCGTGAAGAGCGTTCCGCGGAAAGGCAGGCGGCGAAGGAACGTTTGGAGATAGAAGAGAGAACTCTTCAACTGCGAATTCGACTAGCTGAGGTTGAAGGTAGCCGAGAGCCAACAGCGCGGGACCGCGAACCTGAGAGGAGTCAAAGCCGCCCGTGCTTGATCAATCCTCACAACCTGATTCCAGTGTTTGACGAGGGGCGTGACGATCTCGATGCGTATCTCAAGAGGTTCGAACGCGTAGCAGTTGGTCAAGAGTGGCCTGAGGAGAAGTGGGCGACAGCGCTTAGTTTATGCCTCAGTGGGGAAGCATTGAAAGTCTTCGGTCGTCTGTCGCCAGAAGACTCACTGGATTACCAGAGTACGAAAATGGCCTTGCTCCAGAGGTTTCGTTTCACAGCCGAAGGCTATCGCGAAAAGTTTCGGCAAAGCAAGCCTGAAGACGGCGAAACTGGTAAACAGTACGCCACGAGATTACAGAGTTACTTCGATAGATGGCTGGAAATGTCGGAAACGGACGAGGACTTTGCATCCGTGCGCAACCTCATTGTAGCTGAGCAGTTTCTGAATAACTGCCACGATCGCCTGGCACTTTTTCTAAGGGAGAAGAAATGCAGGACGGTAAAAGAAATGGCAGAAGCAGCTGATACCTTCTTGGAAGCCCAGCGGCAAACAAACTTGTTGGTATTTCGTACCAAGTCTGCAAACAACATTCCCAAGGAGCAAGAAGGATTTACTTATACCCAGCCTCCTCTTAGATGTTTCGTCTGTGATCGACCCGGCCACAGAGCATCTGATTGCCGCACGAAACCCCAACGAGTCTTCTGTGGGCACTGTCGGAAGCCCGGCCACGATGCAAGAGCATGCCCAAGCAACGGCGGGTCAAAGAAAATGACATCTTGCATCGTGTCTACTGACCAGAAGTCCGAGACGCCCCGATGTGCCGATGATTCATCACAAGATGAATATGTTGCTAGTGCACTCCGAACGCGCACCGCAACAGCTACACGAAACTTGCCGGTGTTACAGGGAGAAGTGTTTGGACATACTGTATCAGTCTTGAGGGATACTGGAAGCAACACCCTGGTCGTGCGACGTTCCCTCGTTCCCGATGATGCGCTGACGGGTACTACCGCCACTATTTTATTGGCCGATGGTAGTTGCATCGAGGTACCGGAAGCAGAAGTACGGATTCTATCGCCCTATTTCACCGGAAATGCGATAGTCAAATGCATGACGTCACCACTTTACGATGTCATCGTAGGAAATGTTCCCGGCGCCCGTGACGCTAATGACCCCGACTCAACGTGGAAGGAGTCAGCGAGCCTGAAGTCTGAAACTAATCAGGCATTGAATTCTGAAGAGAAGTCCAAGGATGGATGCGGGACGAATAGCACAGTCATGGTTGGTGTTTCAAGCAAAGGACATCGCCGGAAGCTCACGACTGCTAAATTTGGAAACTTAGAGGTGACACAGGAGTCATTTCGCCAAAAACAAGAGGAAGACCGGTCGCTGGATGTTTGTAGGGCGAAAGTCGACACCCTCATCCGCGGCAAAGGAGCCACATACCACTCATTTATGTTCGAGAAAGGAATCTTGTACCGCGTTTACCACTTGACTCCGGGTAAATCAGTTCAACAAGCGGTGGTTCCAAAGGCGTTGCGTGTCCATGTGTTGCACTTGGCACATGAATCACCGATATCTGGTCACCAGGGTATCAAGAAGACGAAGGACCGAGTTTTGGAGTCGTTTTATTGGCCCGGTGTACAGGAGGAGGTACGAAGATTCGTAAAATCATGCGACGCATGCCAAAGGACATATCCCAAAGGCAAAGTAGGCAAGGCGCCTCTTGGACGAATGCCTTTGATTGACACGCCATTCGAACGTGTGGCCGTTGATATCATTGGACCTCTGACGCCGATTTCACAGAAGGGTAATCGGTACATTCTTACCCTTGTGGATTTCGCCACTCGGTACCCGGACGCGGTGGCTTTGCCCGCAATTGATTCGGCAACAGTAGCAGATGGACTACTGGAGATGTTCTCTCGAATAGGATTTCCACGGGAGATCCTCTGTGATCAAGCATCCTGCTTCACGTCAGGCCTGATGGAAGAGGTGAATGCTCTGCTTGCTATTCGTCATTTGAGCTCGACGCCTTACCACCCGATATGCAATGGCTTGGTCGAAAGGTTCAACGGCACTTTGAAACAGATGTTGCGCAAGTTGTGCCAAGAGAAGCCGAAGTCATGGGACCGATTTCTTGCGCCTCTGTTATTCGCCTATCGAGAAGTACCTCAGGCCAGTATGGGTTTCTCGCCGTTTGAACTGATCTACGGCCGGCACGTCCGAGGACCCCTGGATATACTGAAGGAACTCTGGACAGGGGAAGACCTAGAGGAAGATATCAAGACTACTTACGGATACGTGCTTGATCTGAGAGAACGTCTTGAACGCACCTTGAAGCTGGCTCAAGAGAATCTCTCCCGAGCTCAACACTCGCAAAAGAAGTATTATGACCGAACCTCCAAAACCCGACAGCTCAAAGTTGGTGACCGGGCTCTTATATTGCTCCCAACCAGGGAAAACAAGCTTCTTATGCACTGGAAGGGGCCATTTCCGGTTACAGGAAAAAAGAATGACCACGACTATTGGTTGGACCTTGGGCACACCACGAAAATGTTTCACATAAACATGCTCAAGCGCTACGAAGAACGTCAACCAGAAGTCACTAGCCAAGCATTTGAACAGCCGGATCTTGCGCTGGAGTCTCGCATTGCAAGAGTACACCTTTCGCGTTGAGCATATCAAAGGATCAGAGAACGTAGGTGCTGATTATATGAGCAGGCTACAGGTGTAGGTGCTAGCTATACAACATTAATGTAATAATGTACCATATGCCTAGGGACTCTCACATACAAACTATTCTCTTGGTGCAACAGTTCTGTACATTTGTTTGTCGTAAGTCTTGTCTCCCGCGCACTTTGGACAGTTTTTTTTTTGAAAAAAAAACTTTTGAAAAGGGGGACTTTTGTCATGATATGCGCGGTAGGTTCATC